AATGGCAATAGTAGTCAGTTAATTGCCAAACTTACATTCAATCAGCCACACTCAGATCACAACTATACTTCGCTACTCAAAAATGCCTTCCTGTGTTTTTGGGGGGTGCACAAATTACACGGCAACTGTTAGAGACTAGAAAAACGTCTCATTTCATTCATAAGTACAGTTTTTTTTTTTAATTAAAATATTAGATATAATTTCGTTTATTATGTTGTCCCTATTCTCCTCCGTATCGGTAAGTCACGTGCTCGCGTCAATGAGCGCTCAGCAGCAATAAATACGTAACTAATAATATATATTCATTCTTCTCTAATGATAGGTATACCCTATCATGTGTCTCTTTTTGTTAGCGCAACATGTCATAATAAATAACTATACGTAAATATAGTATTTACCCGCGCCACTTTAAAATACAATAATGTTAGTGTGTTACCTGTCTATCCTTAATACGTCTTTGGAAATAATTATTCAAATGGCTATAACTGTAAAAAATACAAAAGCACTTATACCACGCGAAGAAATAATAAAGAGATTCATAAAAATTTTAATAAAATAAAAACTCATGCACCTCTAAAAGTATATAATTTATAAAAATTATTCTGACAAATCGGATATAGTCTATTCTATTAGATACGGTTGCCTTTGTATCGCGCCGCCTTGGCAAGTGCCGCATCTTGTGAAAACACCGCCGCGACATCAAAGGTCTCCGCGGGCGTACATCCGCAGAATTTGTCATTTTAAAACAAAGCGCCGCGCCGTAGTGAAAGGTTCTTTGCTACCTAACTTTACCTAACCTTGCACTCATGATGATGCTATTTTACAGGAGCGACTAAACCATGGCTGAGATCTGCCTCCGATGGGCACCACAGAGTAAGGAATAAAATGTCCATACCCTGAAGGACCACATCAGCGACAGAATCAGCAACAACGTTGGAATCGTCCGGCGGAAGCAAACCCGCACCCAAGGATAGGATGCAAAGAAAGTTCGCATGCTATCCCAATCTAGGATTCCTTGCAAAGGTGCGGCAATACTTCACGCCGGGACAGCTGCTTACTTTATATAAAACGCAAGTCCGGTCGTGCATGGAGTATTGCTGCCATATATGAGCTGGTGAGCTGCAATGCCACTTAGCAGCTTTGAACTCAATGGAAAGGCGTGCTAAGAGGCTTATTGATGATGTGAATTTGGTTAAAACCAATATTACCAGCCTCGAACACAGGTGCAAAGTAGCCAGCCTTTCGGTCTTCTACAGGATGCATTTCGGAGAGTGTGTGCAGGAATTGCATAATTTAATTCCTCCCTCTCCCTGCCACCATCGGACAACCAGACGTTCGGCAAGTCTCCGATTCGAACCAAAGTGGTTTATTAAGTCGTTCATCGTGCGTACAGCAAAGGTGTGAAATAAGTTGCTAGTATCTGTCTTTCCATCCGATTACACTGTAGTTGTCTTCAAGGCAAGAGTGAATAGATTTTTCCTAAGTCAGTGCGCTTCACCATCTTAGGCTACATCACCACTTACCATCAGGTGGGATTGTAGTTAAGCGCTGGCTTAGAATTGTTAAAAAAATCAGCCGACCTATAGTACCAAACACGGCGACAGCCTGCAGAATGCAACCGTGATTTCAGGCGCATCGACGGAAACCTGATATCTGTCCGGATGGGAGGTCAGAAGGTCCAACAGGGAAGGTGCATGAGCCTCCATATCTGGAATCCGCGTAGGCGACGTAACCATTTGTGTCAGACCATATGCCAAGGCAAAATCATGAACAGATCTCCCCGCATGATCGGTTAAACGTGAAAGAAGCCATTCGGCGTGGTGTATATGCTTCATATGTAATTTATATTAATTAGCTCAGTGATTCTTCAGATAAAATTTTCTATTTATTTATTAAGGACGATTTCATTATGAGTATTTAATTTAAAGAAGAAGTTATTGTTCCATCTACCGAACAGAGTTTCATTTGTATGATATCAGTAAGATGCGTAGATTATACACGCGTATAAAGTTACGATCACAGCTAGAAAACATAAACAAGATATGGATGTCTTTTTTTAATATGCCTAGCTGTTACCTCAATTAGTTAGCTGTGAAATAAAGCATTTTGTTTCAAAAATAATAATAGTAATAATAATAATAATAATCTTTATTAAAAACTTAAGAAGTTACAATACAAATGTTGCACTGATTCCTAAACTAGATGATAAATCCTGTATCTTAGGATATCAGTACCTTCCCATACAATTTTACAAATTTTAAATTTTAACTCAGATTTTTCGTTAAACAGTTTTTTTAAAGCTATGATTAAAGTAAATAAGTGATTCCCCTTTTACCGGGCGTGCGTGCGTGCGTGCGTGCGTGCGTGCGTGCGTGCGTACGTGCGTGCGTGCGTGCGTGCGTGCGTGCGTGTGTGTGTGTGTGTGTATGCAAACATAACCTATTAGTTTATAAATTGACTCCAAGAAGTCTCTCGCAAGCATAGTAATCCAATCCTTTTAGCCAATCAAGCAAAACGATTTTTAATTTAAAGTTGCTTAGCTTCTTTATAACTTTTGTTTTGTTGAATGTATTATAAAGCCGAGGCGCAAGATATTCGTAATGCTTTCTTGCTACCGAGCATTTCTTGTTAGGAGCAGGGTAGTTTGCGGTTCTTTTGTTCATGACATATGTGCATTGATACACGAAAGTTTTCCGAACAGACAGAACCCCTGTTTTTTTATATAGCAAGTTAGTCGGGTAACAGTAAGGTAAAGCAAGCATCACTTTTAGGACAGCTCTTTGCACCCGCTCTATTTACATTAAATGTGTTTTGCATGCACCACCCCAAGAACAAATGCAGTAATTTATCAAACAGTGGCATAGAGCATTATAGGTCTGGACTAAAAGTTGTTGGTTAGCTATTGTTCTTAGTTGTCTGAAAATAAATAATAGTTTTTTTTATTCTTTTGGCAGTATTCGAAATGTGTAAACTCCATGTCAGATTTTCATCTATTGTGACACCCAGGTATTTAGTGTTTGTTACCCTTTCTATGGGGGTGCAATTGCACTTTGATGGAGAGTGACATGTTACATGAATAGAGGAATGTATGATTAAACTCAGATTCTTTTTGCAATTCGTTGCTTTGGTGTTACTAAAGCAAATATATTTTGTTTTGGAGATGTTCAGCGTAAGTAAACTGTTTTCTAGCAATTTATTTACTCTAATTAAACCAAATTCTGTTAGTTTTGAACAGTTTCCCAGTCCTTCCCGTGAAACAGCAGCACAGTATCATCAGCAAACATTATTATGCTGGCACCTGGAATGTCTAGTTTGCACAGTTCGTTAATATAAATTAAAAAAAGTGTTGCTGATAATGTGCTACCTTGTGGCGAAAGTGAGATTAAGATTGGAATTGAGACGGTATCAAAAGCTTTTTGGAAATCTCAAAAAAAACCCCAATGCATTTTTCTCCCGCATCGAGATATGTCGATATTTGATTGGTCAAATCTAGCACTGCATCATTCGTTGACCGACCTGTTCTAAAACCATACTGGTTTGGTGCTAGTAGATTGTTATTTTCTAAATATTTAATTATTTGTTTGTTCGCAATTTTTTCTATTACTTTTGAAACTATTGATAACAGGGCTATGGGTCTATAGTTAGATGGATTAAGTTTGTCTCCTGCTTTATAGATGGGTATGATAGTTGCCAACTTAAAAACCTGTGGGAAACTACATGATTCAAAACTAAGATTACATAATATGTGAGTGATAAGTGGAACTAGTTCGTGGGTACACATTTTCAAAAGTTTTGCTAAAATGCTATCGTTTCCAGGAGCACTATTTTAGACTTAGTATTGTCTGTCTTACTTCTAATATGTCCGTTGGAAGAAGAGACATTGATTTGAGTGGGCCTAGAGATAATGCCTCACTTGCTAGTTCCAATTCTAATTTACCGAGTTTGTTAAGCGTGCGCTCTGCCAAGTTACTGCCAATGGTCGTAAAGTATTTATTTACTATATTAAGTGCCTCTCTTGGGCTGCTAGTAATGTTTAGGAGTTCTTATGGGTTGGATTTATTTTGCTTTAGTTCACAGAACTCTTTTATTACTTTCCAAGTGTTTATAGTATTACAATTGCTTAATATCAATTTGTTTTTATAATATTCTATTTTCAGTGATTTTATTACTTTATTACAAGTATTTCTATATGCCACATAAAAAGATTTAAGTGGTTCATCATTAAGCGATTTTTTAACTTTCATGTTGAGTTTGTCCCGTTTTCGAATATACTTGAGTAGGGAGTAAGTTATCCAAGGTTTTAATATTTTGTTTCTTTTGTTAGTTTTTGCTGGGACACTATGAGATTTTATCAAGTCAGTTAATGTTTCAGTTAGCTTGGCAGCTGCGTAGTTTGGATCTCTAATATGATAGAAAAAATCCCAGTTGTAGGTTATTAATATCTCCGAAATTTTTGATTGAAAAAGCACCGAACTATATCGAAAGATGGTGACAATATTATCTTCTCATAGATATACGAGTATACCTGCAGATAACATCAGTAGATACAAATATGGCATAGGATTTTACTTGCAGATACATACAGATTGTCGCTGAGAAAATGCGATTAAATTCGCCTCGGTCCTTTTTAAGCTCTATATGACGTTCTATCCAAATTCTTCGCCTTTTAGTAAATGCTAATGCAGCACGTGCATCAAAATCAAAATCTGAATCATGTTTTGACGAGCTATCTGGCAAATTTAGAAGCAATATTCGCCAACTTATTGTAGGTAACACTCTGTACAAACAATCCGCTCCGAAAAACACGTCTAGTAAGTTTGAAGAATTTCGAGTGAATGTATATTTCGTATGTTCTGATGTATCTGCGTGGTGTGTGATACTTTCAGATAATTAAGTTTTATACACAGTAAAAATATTATCGTATCTTCGTAGTCTATGACTCGCTTATAATCCTGCAAACCAATCTTATAGTTAAAATAGTAATATTATGGTTTAATCACCTGACTTTAAGGTTGTGCAGCACTGCGGGCTCATGGAGGTAAGAGAGGGATGTGAGGTCATTCTCCCCGATCAGCAATGACGGATTTCGCAACGGTGGCATCTGGTTTTCATCTTTAATCTATTGGAATAATAATTAAAATTATGGTATTGTATAAGAAATATATTCGTATATACAATATTTGTTAGCGACGACAAAGTGAATTCGAACATTTAATCTTAATTATTTCTTATCAGTGATTTAAAACTAAGTGATAGTATTTAATCTTAATTGTTTCCTATTCGTAAAATAAAGCTAAGTGTAAAGACTGATTAGTGCTGAAAACGGGAAAGTAAATTAAGCACTTCTATTCTTATCTTGGAGTAACTTATGTGAATCTATTTGGTATTATTTGGGTCTGATTAGAACATTAGACGCAAGTATAAACTTATTTTCTAGTAAGATTTCTTTTATCATAACTTTAAGAGCTATTAACATATAGGTGATTAATGTAATTCTTTTTACTTTAAAGTAATTCAAAAGAAACATTAATATGTCAATTAATCACTATATAATGTCATTTCATTATGAGAAAGATTTAAATTTTATGAAAAAATATTGTATAGATTCTTAAGCATTAATCCTGAAAAAAGTGTTGTACATTCCTACCTCTTGGCGGCGTTATTTGTATGTTCGGCAAAAAATACTATCCTACTCCGGAGCTAAACCGTGAAGCGACCGCGAAGCTATTTTTATTTTTTATAAGTGTAAAATAAAGGTTTATTGAATAATTTAGGTTTAGAATAATAGAAATAAGTTGTATCTATCGCTAGGAATAAATATAAATGTTGTAAGATATGTTTTACCACGTTTATTAAGGAAATTGTAAATCTCTCTTAGAAAGGGTTATTCTGTGCTCTGATTGGTCAATAGATTCACTAATGCCGTGTGCGATTTTTTCTTAATTACGATTGGTTACAGCCGCTTATAAAAAAAGGGGCGTTTTTCGTGGTAAAACATTCCAAATCCGGCAATGTAATAATAAGGAATCAAGAAATAAAATAAGAAGAAACTCTCAAGAAGTGTTATTTATTGCTCATCTAACTGCTACTGTATGCTCTCCAGTTAACATCCCGCCAGCAAACCCGCTCTATTTTATCGACGCTCCCTTATACGAGCAATTACAATATTGTAAAATGTACATCATGGGTATATTCCGAAATACAACGCTGTGTACTGTCCAATGCAAATGACCTCATGAATCGACGCTATAGTGGTGATTCGTTCCAAAACATTGGACAGTATATGACGTCATACTTTTGCGCCTTTTGGAAAAGTTTTGGTGATTATTTTGTCATTTTGTGCTCCAAAAATCATTATATCTTCCTAATTAAGATACTAGCAATTGTTCTATAATTTTTTGTATTTGAATAAATTACAATAAATTCAAGCATGCTTCATTCAGCGCACACACAATTAAAAATGGTTTTCTTGTGGCCACTGGCCAAATATCCAACGCAATATGGCGGCGGCACGCCAGTACAATATAGTGTCAATTGATGACGTCATTTGCATTTGCCAGTGTACTGGGTTGTATTTCGGAACATACCCCATATCATCTGCCTAAGACTACCTAGACCTTTTCACATTCTAAAGTGTACACTTCGATTAACAATACCAACTAGATAACGGGTCACGTACAAAATCATAGCTAAATACTGTCCGCGTGAATATAAACTTAAATAGCTAATATATAATAATCTATAATATACATACATAAAGACTCACGCCTGTCTCCCAGTGGGGTAGGCAGAGACTACAGACTTCCATTTGGCACGATCCTGACACACCTCTCTCGCCTCCTTCACATCCATACACCTACGCATACATGCTCGTCGGTTAAGGGTACTCCTAATTTGGCCCGTTTTCAATAAATCGCCAATTTGGTCGATAAATTTTCACCTAGGACGTCCCTTTCCGACTCTGCCATTCACTTCTGCAACATAAATTTTCTTTGTCACTCTTTCCTCATTCATTCTTTCGACATGACCAAACCACCGAAGCATTCCTTTCTTAATCCTGGTCACAACATCATCTTGCAAACCACACTCTTCTCTTATTACACAATTTCTTACCCTGTCGTTCAGATTCAGCCCTAACATACTCCTTAACGACCGCATTTCTACTGCGTTGATTCTACTCTCGTGCTTCTTCTGCCACACCCAACTTTCACTACCATACGTTAAAGTAGGGACCAACACAGCATTGTGAATTGCCATACGTGCCTTTTTCGACACATTTTGACTCTTCACAATAGAGTGCAAGGCCCCATTTACTCTATTTCCCGCATTCACTCGTCGTTCTATATCCTTATCATATCTCCCATCCCTGCTAAATACGCAGCCCAAATATACAAACTCATCTACTTGCTACTTGATTTGTGAAATAAGAATAGAAGGGGAGTTGATCGAACTCCCCTTCTATTCTTATTTCACAAATCGTTTTACTTTCTTCTCTTTCAAAAACCATAACCTTCGTCTTACTTGCGTTCACTTTAATACCCCTTTCTAATCTATAATATATAAAAATAATAATAAATAATAATCTGTTTACTAAAGAAATGAGACAAAAATTAAAATAGTTTTAAGTTCAACCTAATTACAACCATCGCATCTAGTAATAAAGTCACAAATCTTACGATCATTAGTCACAAAAGTAAGAGCTCACGTCTCATGTGCGCTCTTATTAACTGAGACGGATTTCTTGCGCCAACCCGACATCTAGTTGGTATTGTTGATCGAAGAGTGTACAGCCCAATGAGACAGTACACCGCACGATAATATCGTAGGCGCGTCATTCGAGTTTTCCTCAGGAATGCAATTTCGCTCAGTCTTAAATTGAGGCGGCGCTGAGGCGGCGTCGAGGTTGCTTCCGGGCATTGCACTTGTGCCCCTAGTCTTCTGTGAATTCATCCTAACTTTTTAGTGAGGATCTTTCCTTAAAATTCACTTTCAACATTTTATTTTTGTAACTATGTTAACCTCTTACAAACGAGTGGAGGTATGTGCCCCGAAGTGGCACTCATAATATTCACGTACGTATGTGTGTGTGTGTGTGTGTGTATATATTAGGGTAATACCTTTATATGTCACAAGAATTTTAAACAAAATCGCTATATTATTACTTACGTAGTATTAAAAGCACGAGATTTTACCTTAATTTGTCGTATCTCGCCGGTCTGATCTATCTTCACGATAAGAACACCTGAGCGGTAGTCCGAGGTTACTGTGGCACTTTCCCATACTTTCACTGGGTGCTCCACCCATATTTGGGCATCCTAAACATTAAAATGTATGATTAAATTATAGACAAAGCATAATGCCGTGTGGTGGCGATGTAAAAAAAACCATCACTATACCATCCCATAATGTCGTCATGTCAAGGAGCGACTAAAGTAAAAGCTAGGAAGATCTCATGGCTTTTGATATATAACTGTATAACCATCTGGTGATGTTATAACTGGCCAAACCAATGTCAATAAAAAATTTAATTCACATTCGAATGTCGAACTCTTACGTAACCTGACGAGTAACATAAAATCGTTTGTTATATATGTTTAAAAAAATGGCGGATGTAAAGTGTGTGGAGCGAATCAAGATTTGATGATTACAACTTTCGTTAGGAATTAGTCAGTAACAATATCCTTTTTAATAAATTAAAATGACAAACGAATTTACAATCTACTTGATGTTAAGTAGCTAAAGCTACAGATATGTACGTTTACACCCAAGATTACCAGCAAGATCAGCACAGATCAAGTTTTTCCACTTAGAGACTCATTTAGTACACTTTGTTCATAACCTTAAGGACTAAGATGTAATGCTTCTCAGCTTGTAATTATACTTTGTTTCTATATACTCTTTATACCAGAGTGCAGGAGTGCAAATACTGCTGAGATATGAGAATACCCAGACATATTTCTAAGCATAATCTGTGTTCAATAACCTAGTAAATGTATGATAAACTGCCTGTTTGGATATTGGACGAATGTTCAATAATAATTTAAAGTTTATGATACAATCATTTCTTACACAAATGAAAAATATTAGATTAAAATATATTAAAACATGTTAAATGTTAATGTTATTATGGTTTATGTTATGTAAATAAAAATTACAAAATTTGTCATTAAACAAGTTTAAATGTTTTATTAAAGAAAATATGTACAGAGTTATTATAATATAAATGAATACATAAACAAAAATAACCCCCAGGAGTGAGATGTTGGTTATATACACAAATTGTACAAAATAAATTTATTGTAAATTGAAATATGTTTAAAAAAGTCCCGCTGGGTTTCTTGCTGGTTCTTACCAGGACAGTCTTTTGCAAACCAGTCATAAATAAAAAATTATTTTCAATAAGCATTATACAATAATCTATATTGAATAAAACTCAATTATTTCATTTCAATGAGTTTACATCCATTGCGGTTAAGGAGAATATGTGAACTAACACAGTTTTTGTAATTATCTAACTAAAGCGATTGCTTTGCGTAAAATTTTAACGCCAGCACAAATATACAGTTCGATCATACACTGCCCATCCCTTTTTATTCGTTTACAACTGGTTTAAGGATTAAGGGTAGTACGAGCAATGTCATGTTCTCACTCAGTATAGTGGTGATGTAGTTGATGTATGGCCTATTTCTTCCCGTGAGTATCGTATGAGGTGACAATTAGCAAAGCCAGAAGGATATGTTCTTTCATTTATTACGGTATGACGATCTTATTGATTTCAGATGTAAAATAACCAGAGCGGAGACGGGGGACAATGTTATAGGAGCCAGACATCTGGTAATGCGACCGTTAATCTGGACGCCAAACATGGCGATTATGGCAAATCCTGCATTCGTTTGGAGAGACCCATCTGGAATACTATGGGTTGACAAAAAGGCTCTGACAATCAATCATAAGCGAACCATGGTAGAAACACTCCAAGGTGGCATAAGACACTACGACAACAGGAAATAAAAACTGCAAATGTGTTTTTATCAACTATGACAAATATCCTTTCTACAAGGCAATCAATGGGGGAAAACCTATGTTCAACACAAGGATTTTGATAAGCTTTAATAAATAAATAACTAAAGATTTTGATTCTTAATCAAGAATATAATATATAGGTGTATGCCAGAGCATCCGCTTACTATCAAATGGAATTTTTGCTCATTTATCTCTTATACATATAGGATGATTGTATTAAAATTCTCCTAAGCCTTCAGTTATATTCAGTGCTCTAAAAGCAATTGCACTTAGTATTTTGCTAACCGAAACTTGAAACCTTACCAAATTACAGGTCTGTGCAGAAAATGCAATGAAGAGAAGCATGTTTGGTGCAAAAAATTAAAGACAAGAAAAGAATATCACTAAAAGGAAAAAAAAATCTAATGGCAAACTATAATTAAATAACCAAAAAATTTAATTATGGGCTGATAAAACTGCAAGGATAAGAACACTTGGAAAATGTGAGATGTTATTCCTTTAGTCACGTTTATTTTTTTATAGGATAGGGTGACAAACGAGCACACAGTCCACCTGATGGTAAGTGGTTGCTGTGGCCCGTAGACATTTACTTCTATCCTCGATTGTGAATCAAAATGCAGATGCGTTGTCACCCGTGAGGACTAAGATGGAATGCCTTGTATCCAGTAAAAAGGGTCTCATTAAGCTGCTATTTTATGCTGGTATTTTGTGAGAGCAGTGTTTTACCATACACTAGGCAAAGCAAAACAATTGACACATGCTTTTTTGTCCCACATCCCAAATATAGGGCTTATTAGTCCTAGACCAACATGGGAAAAACAATAATCATGCATAATATGTATCTAATATGTAACATACTTAATATATATAATGTATAATAAACACTGTTCATTAAAAATAAAAATGTTTTCAATGTAACAGGCCTCAAACAGTAAGTAAATAAATAAACCAATTTAGACATTTCTGCCTTTGTTGAGTAGATTGGAAGACCTTTTTAATCTTTAAGTGGACTTTAAAATAGAAAAAATGGTGGTTATATATCCCAGAAATATCTGTATAATATAGTAAACTTCTCTTTTAAATATTGAAATTGGAGACTAAAAAGATTTGAGATTTTGTTTTAATCTATCAAACTTGTAATATTTAAAATTATATTTTGTTATTGTAACATGTTAACTGTCCCCATACAGAATTTTTCGATAACCCGAGATGTCAGATGTAGATTCAAAATGACTAATTTTTGATAGTTAGCCCTCATAAAAACCTGATTATCTAACTAATTATATGTATAAAAAACGAAATATTGAGACAAATTCCATATGAAAGCCTGTTTTCGTCATTCTCAAGTACAATCCAATAGGGGCTCACATTTTTAGAACCTATTGGCAATGTTTGAGCATATCTACACAAAGACATTGGTTTGGGTGTTATAAAAAACTTATTGACGTTGAAAGTCTTCTAAAAACTACAAGAATAAAACTAAAAGAGCGACAACACACTGTAAAATATTATTATCTCCAATGTTTTTATAAAGTTCCATTGCACAAATAAAGTAATATTCTTATTTTTTTTTTTCAATTACCCTCTCATAGAAAAAAAAGAAATGTTTTACATCTTTTTTATTTATTGGTTTTCTATTGACAATTCCTGACAAATAGAGCAAACTAACTAAAAGTCCATGAAGTTGAGCTCAAAGGACAGGCAAGGGCATGTGTACCATTTACTGGTACACGGACATGACAAACCCAAGCAGCCTGTACTGTTCGGGTGCACTGGACAGCTAATGTGTTAATGTTCATAATTTTTGTAGTATATTTAGGCATTGGACAACATCATTGCAATGAAAAATTGACATAAGTTTTATCAACAATATTAATATTCATATAAAAACAAACATTATAAGTTATGAAAAACAAATTTGTATTCACAATAACTAAGGACAAAATATGTTAGTTTTGCACAAAGTATGATTTAACCGAGTTATGACAACAACTATTGTTGGATAATAATATTTCTAAGGAACTTAGAATTTTGTTCACAGGTGAAATTTATAACACGAAGTAATACAAATAGTTACATTTAAAGTAAAGGAAAACAAAATCATTCTAAATGAAAAAATAAGTATTTGAAATTATTATCAGTTAATATACTAAAAAAAATATTATAACATATTTTATATCCTAATCAACTGCGTTTAAATTAAATAATTCATGAAGACAAAATTCACCTAAGTGCATAACATTGATAGCAAGTAATTTTGTAATCTTTACGATAAGTAGGTAGGTAGGTATCTATTGGCTTGTAATTTGTATTGAGTACAAGCATAAAACTCGTATCAAAAGTAGAAAAATTCATTCTACGAAATAAAAGTGCCTTAAAAGTCAGAATAAAACGAAATAAGATCAAAACAATATAATATGCGAAACTTACCTTTGTATATAATTCTTTCGTTGTCATATTGAAAATGAATGAGGCGTGTTAAATATTATATAAAGTTATTTGTATTGAACTATTTCACCACGAGTTCGGAACTTCGCAAACCCATTTTAAAAATAAGGTAGATTCGAAATTTTATTTAGTTTCTTTTCCAATAAGAATTGCGAAACGTCAGCTTTTCTGCATTCAGTGTTGCCATATGAAGAAATGAAGATGCACTAAGTCCTTATCAAAATTGCATTATATTAAAATGAAAAGTATGCTTTCTAAAATCCACCAAATTCCTCTTAGGTGTATCATGTAAATGTATAAGGTAATAAGAAAAAATGCGATTATTTAAAGACATCTTCATTTATTTAAGTAAGATTAGGTATTAAAATCAACTAAATTAGACAATTCCACTGCGTCTTCTTGGTCATCATCATCTCCAGATGCCGATGGTGAATCTACATCTGCTTCTATTCCTTTCTTCACAATGTTAGTAATTTGTCGAGCAAATTTTCAGGTGAGTCTTTATGTGTGGCAGATTTGCTTAAGAATTTTTTTTATTGAGTGCGAAAATCCGCTAGATTTCGGCGTTTGAGTATGAAAGCGTCTACACGCTGGCAGTTAAGTCCACTAATTCCCAATAGGCATTCATTCTAGCCGCATTTTTGTAGCTGGAGACTTGAGTATTTCACTATATCATCACGAAAACCTTATTTGACAAATTGAATTCCCTACCCTTTGCTCCACACTCAAATCTATATTTCTGGCTATAAGCTTTTTTCCTCGGTAGCAAATCCGTTTAAAATTTCACGAAACAAACAAAACTGAGCTAAACGACTAACACGAAACTCGAAAGTGGGAAAAATAAGTTCTTTTCAGATATTAAAGCTTAGAGGATTAATATAATGAAAAGCAAAACAGCTGCATAATACCATAATGGAAAAGGGAGATAAAATAATTAACACATCAGTAACATTTTGGCCGGAGATTACCCTAACAAGAGACTCGATATTGTTTTTATGGAACTGTGCTGCCAAATTATATCAAATTTTCCGCCAGATTCCACTAGATTTTTTTAGCGCTTTGATATATACAAAAAATCGCTATAGACCCGAGAATTGCACCAAATCTAGCGCCAAATGCACTTAAACGGCAACACTGACTGCATTGCATTGTTATTGAAAGTTATTGACATATGTTTTTTTAATAAGATTTTGGCTTAGATGTTTGTCTTTTAAGCCACATCATGTTTAGCCAATCTGTAAGTTGGCGAATCGATCTAACTCACGATTGGACGTAATAGAGCGTTTGGTTTGTGTATTTTTGGTAACCCATACAACTTCGGAGGTTTGGCACACGCAGGTATCATCAAATTAAAGTCTAGATTCAATTTCTCGGAGTATACTACCACTTAGAGGCCACACAAGAGCACACACTAAGTATTCATATCGTTTTGTCAGTGAGATAAAAGACCTACGTCTTACTGATTATAGAACCATGGTCACTTTTGATGTTCAGTCTTTATTTACATTCCTACCTGTTGTAGACTGCATCTTCTTCTTCAATTATAAATAGGAAACTAGATGAAATTATATATTTTTAATTTTTAAAAATAATTCTTAAGTAACGAAAATTATACACAATCAAACCACATAAAATACTTTCGTTTTTTTTTTTTAATTCAAAATAATAGAGATAAGATTTAAGTAAGACAAGGCTTTGGCATGTCAATTTTAATATGTCATATTTAATTTAATGGCATTAATTATGTCAATTTTAGTTTCCGGGACTAAAACTGGTGGCGCTTCAAATCGACACAGACATGTTTTATGGTATAGCCAGTCCAGCGTACTTGCATATATAGAGGTCACTAGGCAACAACCTTGTAAAAGAAAGAAGGTGAGAATAATGTAGCTGTCTCATTTTGTACCATTGATATGCAGAAGAAACAGCGTTGCTGATGGCACGCAGCCTTGTGGAACACCAGTGTTAATAGGCTTGCAATCGGAGCATGTACCGTCTACTACGACCTTGATGCTCTGATCTGCAAGAAAGTTGGTGATCCATGTCTACAATCTCTCGGGAAGCCCATAGGATGCAAGCTGCGAGAGAAGCGCTTTGCGCCAAACCCGACCGAAGGCTTCGCTATGTCCAAATTAACCGCCAAAGCTTCATTCTTGGACTCGATCGCCTGCGCCCAACGATGTGTTAAGATAAACAAAAAGATCACCAGGTGAGTGACCCCGATGGAAACCGTACTGGCAGTCACAAATCGGCTGATGCTCCTCAAGGTCCCGCATGAGCTGGCTGTTAATAATGGATTTCATTATTTTGGAGAACGAGGAGATGATGGCGATAGGCCTGTAGTTGGACGGATTAGAGTGATAACCTTTTTTAGGGATCCGGTGCACAAAAGCTGATTTCAATTAATTTGAGACTACGCCTAGAGAATAGGAGTACCAGAAAAGACGCGTTAGATCCGGTGCCGGTTTAAGCGCACGTCCTTAACACAATTGGGGGAATTCCGTCAGTCCCACTCGACTTGTGGATGTCCAGGGAGAGGAGTGTTTTACGCACTGAGAACTATGTGAATCGCTAGTCAGGAATTGGGCGCTCACACTGCGGGATGGTCGGCGGTGTTTTCTCTTCGTCATCAAGAGTCAAGTTGGACGCAAAAAGAGAGCCTTAAAGATGGAAGAAGAGAAGAGAGATAGTAATGATGACTTACGAAAATTTTCTTGGACAGCCTTGACGAGAAATCAGAATGCACGGGTTCCCGAAGGAAGGCGAACTAATTTCTCGCCAATTCTGCAAATATGCTCATATTTAGCCTGGGCTATAACTCTTTTGAGACCTGGAGGAGAAGTTATACTTCTTTTTATGCATGCCGGTTTTTACATCCCGAGCCTCCGAAGCGTAAGTTCAGGTCTGATAACACTCCTATTTACTGCGTAATGCAGTCTTACAGGAGCAATCAAACCAAGGTTGGGATTCGATCCGATGGCTACCACAGATGATGGAATAAATATTTTCATTCCCTGCTGGATTATTTCGCGAGAAGCAGACTCGTTCCTATGAGTAGGATGAAAAGAACGACCACATTACGTAGCAATCCGCCGACCTGTAATGCCAAACACGGCTGCAGCGTGCGGAACGCAACTACGAAGGGTGTGGGTGATCAGAGAATGATCCGCGGATTCAAGAGTGCCGTCAATGGATCCTTGATGTCCGTTCGGATAAGAAGTCAGCAGAAGGTCCAACAGGGAAGATGCCTGATACTCCACATTAAATCCGCGTAGGCGAAATAACCAGTTGTGTCAAAGGAAAGCCCTAAACAGATTCTCCGCATAATCGGTTAGACGTGAATCGAGCCATTCGGAGTGATTGACGTTAAAATCGCCAAGGATCACGATCTCTGCGGATAGGATCTGCTGTAGCAAAGAGTCTGAAGCCATTTGGAAGTGGTCGATAAGTCGGTCTGTTTCCGCATTACTGCTATGGGACCTTTAGAGGCGAAGACGCGCGGATGTTCGTCACTGTCTACGCGTAGCCAAAGAATGAACAGGTCCAAGCCTTCAAGACTGCCTAGGCGTCTAGAACAGATACCCTCACATATCATCTCTCTGACGTATACACAAACCCAACCCGAGGCACAAAGGAGTGTTCCAATTATATTATATTGTAACTTATGCTTATGCTTTAAAAAAAGAGAGTTCCGCTAGATTTCTTGCTAGTTCTTCCCAAGGAAAACGGTTAATTTCCGAACCAATGGTAAAATTAAAAAATGACTTTCAATAACAATTAGATGTAATCAATATTGAATAAAAATGGTTCTATTATATTTTATTTTAATTTGTACCCCGGGTAGGAGTGATACAAGGTATCAACCGGAGAAGACACCTGCGTCTCGGTCAGAAAGAGCGCGGCTGGCTTCGTCGTCTTCAGATGGTAGCAGACAGCTTTTAGGTTCGAGTGAGGCCCCCTGTTGTTGCAGACATCCACGAATGGTTTTGCAGTGCATCACCTTAGCCTTTTTGCTCAGTCTACGCCGAGCAGATTTTGTCTTGAGCGAAATTTTGCCCTCCCAGAATACGCGGGAACAGCCTAAGCACCCACGCTCAGAAGTGGAATAACTTGGTCACGGATGCTCAGCGAGGGATTCTCCATTATCAGGGGTGTTGGTACCCTCCTGAGGTAGTCTCTTATTTAATTCCGCTACCATGTTGATGGAAGGGGGAAAATTGGGCCTCCGGCCACCTGCACTTCACACCTACACTGCAAACGCAGAAGCAGAGCTTGTAATTGACGCCGCTATTCTGTGACGTCGTGGTACTACCCCGGTGTGAGGCGGCCCATACGTACAACAGCAAAAGCTGCCGCGTGGCTCTACTACTGTTAGTAAGAAGAGAGGTATCTGTGGAATGAAAAAACAGCAACAACCTTGAATCAAGAAGGTGAGAATAATAAAGGTGTTGTAGCGGCGCTGTCGTCGCGCCACTAGCACACCGAAACACACCGAAGCCTAAATCGCGCTATTAACATTCCGAATCATAGACAGTATATATAGAACAGCTCCGAACTATCACATCGGGAGTGTTGGCCGCACCCCGGGCACAAAGCCTTGCCCGGCGGGAGATCTCCCCTTTTCCTTCCACGGCCACAGTGGTGACCATCCGACGTGATCTGAACACGCAACCAAACAACCTTCGGAAACTTCAAGCTTCATCATCGTCATAGAATACACCACCCATTCCCTCCCGAGCAGATATCGTCTGCAATCTTCATATCCTGCAAGCCAGCTAGCTTCACAAGGTTCATCGCAGCACTGGAATAATAATGCTTCCTGTTCCTTCAAGCTACTCTCTGCGCTATACAGTGTTCGGCATGGCTCTGAACCTTACTGCTCGCCTCTGCTTCACGGCACTCTCGCAGATTACTTGCCTTCTTTTCGACTCACCGCAGACTACAAGGCAATCTCCTGGCACTTGCACATTCGTCGGCAACGAGGCTGCACTATCGACCTCCGGTCTGAG